TTCCGTGGCGTGTTGCTCAAAATTCATCGACATGCTAATGGCAATGAATATTTCGCCTTCAAAATCACACGGAATTTCAGTCAACCAAGGGGCTATGTTAGGGATATAGTATTAATTATGGTTAGTAAGGGTCAGCTTAGCTAGCTTACTCATCACTTGGCTATCTTAGTCAATGGCTAGCTATCTGACGTCAGAGATAAATTAGAGTATAAAAGATAAACCAAAAGCACATTTAATTCAGTCTTGTATTAGTCTAAGTTTACACTTGTTATTAATAACTTCTTTTCTCATTTATTTGTCACCCTTCATTATTAACCCCACATTTATTAACCCTCAGTATTTATTTCAAAACCTTAATAAAGTTAATTTACATTACTAAGTCACATCGGTCCTCCCTGAGCGAGTCTTATTTATGGTCAATGTTTTTATGTCACCTTCCTCAACATAAAATGGTGGAGATGCCGCGTCTCTGACTTGGTTCTGTGACAAAATTAACTTTGTGCCCTTTCTAAGGTCATATTAAGGAATTTGAAACCGAGGCTGCCTCGTATCTATTCCTAACTCAACGTTCTCTGAACAAGGTTTAGTGAATAGGAGCGCTAATACGCGGCTGCCGCATAAAAAGCCTCCTTAAACCTCTGGTTAGTTGTGCTTTACAATTCTTGAGAAAGTGAAGAAGACAACAGCGGCTGCCGCTTAGTCTTCTGACCGATCTCAAGAATACTGGGATAGTTCTCTGAACTATATTGTGTTAATATAAAAGTGGATATATTTGAAGAAGTGGCGTCAACAAGTGAAGAGAAACAAGAAGTTGAAACCTGGTTCATTAATCTCAACAAAATATTGAACCCTTTAGTAGAAATGAATACCTACGCTAATTTCGACAAGATTAAACTAATTGAAATCGCCACACAATTAGGCTTTAAAAATCCTGACGACTTTACTGCTGAAGTATTATTAGCTAAAGTCATTGATGCCCACAAGATTCAACAGATTTATGATGGTATAGTTCCTAATGTAAAACCCGAATCAACAATTTATGAAGTTAAAAAGCCTTGGGATGTAGCTGTTAAATTAAGAGAAAATGGATTTTCTGAAGATGTAATTGGTGCTTTAGTTACAAGTGGAATCAGAGAAATTGAACATTTAAAATATATCACTAAACAATCTATGATTGCTAGTAATATAAACGCTATGCAAGCTGATAGATTGGTAGCTTTATATGGGAAAAAGCCTGATCCAGAAGTTCAAATGATTAACTCGTACACGAATGGTGACTCAAGGATTCTAAGTAATAAAGCCTCAGCAAGAATAAGAGTTCAACAAATAAGATGGCCATTTAAAAAAGAGGGAAAACAATTGCCCTTCCACGTGTTCATAGATACCCTTGAACATGATATGAGAATGGCTGATCCAACTAAAAGAGAATGGGTTGATTTCCTAAGAGGAACTCTGAACGATGAATCAAGAAAAGTAGCTGAAGACATTATTAAAGAGGAACCTGAAATCGAGTACGAAAGCTTCAAAATTAAATTACTCAAAAGAGTCGTAACTAGCAAAGATCGAATTAACGCCTACACAACACTCAAGAGCTTAGTTTTTGATATCAACACTGGTGATATTAACAAACATATAACTTTAGTTAAAGAACAAGTACGAAGAATAGACCCAACGGTAACTAATGAAATGTTCATATTAACCTTATTGAACACTTTCCCTTGGAATCTATGTACTGAAATTATGGAACATTTAGACTACAATGATAAAGCTGAAGATCAAATCATTGGAAGAATAGGCATCAAGCAGGTAAATTTAAAGACTAAGAAAACTGAAAGACCGGATTATCAAAAGACTCCAGAAAGAAAGAAATTTTATGAATCAAAATTCAATGAGAGATCAAGGTCAAAGAAGTGGTGTAGTCAATGTAAAAAGACTAATCATAATACAATAGACTGCTATTTTAAAAAGAAAGATAACTCAAATCAAAGCCAATCACCAAATAAGCCAACAAATCAAGCATCATCTTCAAATCAAATTGGACTTTTAAACGCTAATTCAGGAAATCTTAAGTTTGATATTGACAAACCTCTCGATCCAAACAATGCTAATCTTAAACAAGTTCAAGAATTAATTCAAAGAACTAACAAATCTTCAGTTCAAAAATTAGAAGAAAACAATTCGAAAGGTCAATCAGTTATCTATCCTATCATTGATATAAGAGAAAGGTCAACAAATACAGAGCTAAAGACACTGTTGGATACAGGAGCCTGCACTTCATTAATCAGTGAAGAAACTGCAAAAAGATTAAATCTACAAACTTATCCGATTGAAGTCAAGTTTACAGGAGTAAGCGACTCAAGGATAACCTGCACTAAATGTGTTCCATTGAAATTATATTCTGGACACAGAATCAGAATGATGGCTGCCTACGTTATCCCTAACTTGAACAATGAATTGTTGTTCGGTGTCAATGTAATCAGTTATACAAACGCTCAAATCATTGGCCAAGGAGAAGATAACCCTTTTAAAGTTAGAAGATATCGAGATGGAATGATGGAAACCTACGATGTCGAGATTGAAAAACCAAATCAAGCAGAAATTGAAATCTTATTCAAGTCATGGTTCGGAGAAAATTATGATCCAAAGAAACTAAAGTCAATGAACGAACTGACTACTGATACTGAAAGAATAATAGATGCATATCCTGAAGATTCAAATATAATAGCATTAGTCCGAGAACTTCCAGTGAAAAGAGAAGATTTTCCTAATCAAATTGATGATGTTGAAAAAGCTTTGAAGGCTACAATAAATCCTGAGTTATCACAGTATGATCAGCAGAAATTATTTAAAGTATTGTTGGAAAATAAAGACGCGTTCTCTAAATCGCCTTACGATTTAGGTTGTGTTCCAGCAAAAGTCTGTAATATCAGAATCGATATTGGCGATAAGCCAATTCCAAAGAAAAAGCCATTTCGACTTCAAGAAAAAGTCAGAATGGAATTAAGAAATATTGTCAATGATTTAATATCAAACAATATTGTTGAAAAATCAAGAGCAGGAGGTGGTGCACCAGCTTTCGTAGTGCCTAAACCTAATGGTACATGGAGGATGGTAATTAGTTATGTTGCATTAAACAAACTAATTGAAAAAAGAGTATACCCAATGCCTAACATAGATGACGCGATCAATATGCTTAGGGGGAATAAGTACTTTACTACTCTAGATCTAGCACAAGGCTATTATCAAATCGAGCTACCAGAAAGTGAACGAGATAAAACTAGTTTCGTCACAGAAGAGGGTTGTTTTAGATTTAAACGACTACCAATGGGACTTGCAGACTCGCCAGCTTATTTTCAAGAATGTATTAACGCAGTTCTAGGAGACCTAAGATACACTTGCTGTCTAGGATACTTCGATGATATACCTATTTTTGGAAGGACGATTGATGAACTATGCGATAATATGAATAAAGTCTGTCAAGCATTAAGAAAGTATGGATTCAAATCAAGAATCTCAAAATTAAGAACTGGAGCTACAGAATTTGTATGCCTAGGACACTTAGTGTCAGGAAAAACGGTCAAACCAGATCCAAAGAAGATCGAAAGAGTGAAAAACCTAAAACCGCCAACCTCATTGCTTCAAGTGAGATCTCAATTGGGATTGTTCAATTATTTCTCACGATTCATAAAGGATTACGCACAAACCTCATCATGTCTATCAGAGCTGTGTAAAAACAAATATAAAGGAATTCAATTTGCACTAAATGCAGAACAATTAGCAGCCTGGAAGAAATTAAAAGAGGCGTTAATGAAAGAATGTTCTTTAACGCATTTCGATCCTAACAAGGAAATAAAAATGATGGTGGATGCATCAGCAGTCGCTATCGGAGGAGTGCTAACCCAAAAAGAGGAAGAAGATTGGAAACCTGTCTACTTCTTCGGCACAAAGTTGCAAAAGCATCAAAGAGGTTACACTACAACAGAGAAAGAAGCTTTGGCTGTAGTGTATGCTTGCCTAAAATTTCAGAATTATCTGAGATACAAAAAGTTCACCATAGTGACTGATCATCATGCACTATGTGTGTTCAAAAAGAAAATGTTCAAGGCACCAAGACTAATGAGATGGCAAGCATTACTTGGTGACTTCGATTTTGAGGTGGAATATCTAAAAGGAGAAAAGCATCCTACAGACTGTCTATCAAGGTCAAATGAATGGGCTCATAGAGCTGAAGGTGAATTAAGAGATGATCATTATGACAAATACCTCAATCAACTAAACCTTGAACAAGTTCTACATCCAAATAAAAATGATTTCGCTATCTATGACCAAGGTCTAGAAGAGTCCAAACATATAATCAAAGCGGCTGCCGCTGAATTATATGTGGACAGAATGATGGATGAGAACATAAATGGAGAGGCGATTCGAGAAAATCTAATCTTCAACTTAAGTTTACCAAGAATCGAAAAAGATTTAATGAGTGAACTAAGAAAATATCAAGAAGCTGATTCAAGATGTACATTCATAAAGAATGAACTAAATGAAGAAAAACAAGTAAAGAAATTCCAGACAAAAGATGGGATATTGTTCAAAATTAATAAGGACAAACCTCCAAAGTATTATCTACCTGATAAACTAGGTCAGACGATCGCTCGCCAAAATCGGAGCGTTAGCGAGATTTGCTTTATTTAGCAATCAAAATTTAAATTGGTTGATCTTGACTATGTTCAAGAAAATAGAAAAAAAGAAAATCTGAAATAGCAGAGAGAAGAAATGACAAAAGTTATTACAATTCATTGAATAATTAAGTAAAATTTTAGTAGGAATTGATGTTAAAAAATATAAATAAAAAGAAGTAAAGAAAAGTTTAATCAATTTTAAACGTTTTATTACTGAAACAAAATAAGGTCACATGAAAAATATTAATACAATGAATGAACAAGCTGGGCTTAATAGCATTATTAATTTCAATATTGGCATATATACTTGAATTACAGTTAGAGTTACAAAAATCTGCGTAAAAATATTTTTCTTTGTGCGAGTTGAGGGCTATTAGAAAGGTTATTTATCCGATCTTTAGAAATAACTTGATCAATTATTAAACTTTGAAGATTTTTGACTCTGCTGAATGCAACGTATGATGAGCCTATGTCGGATTCAGTATCTCCAATATGAACAACCGCTTGAGAAAGTGTTAATCCTTGAGATTTGTGAATAGTGATTGCGTGTGCGACATTTATTGGAAACTGTCGACGCCATTGCGGTTTTCCTTCTGTTTTCCAGTGTCTTGTAATTGTTGTTATTGGAATAGCACGACCATTGTATGTAGGGCCCTTATAATTATCGAACTCAATCATAAGGGCAACAGGAACACTTGGAGGTCGTTTATTATGCTCATAAACAATCGCTTGCAATGTACCAAGAGCTCCATTAACAAGTCCAACTTCAGTCCATAAATTGCTTCGTAACATGACACGACAACCTTTGGTTAATTTCAAGATTTGTTCCAAGGCCTGTGCTTTATCTGCTTTTTGTTTTGATGCTAGTTTGCTACTATTAACTGCAGGAATGAGTGCAACTGGATGGCCACTACTTCTCAGAAGATTTTCATTGTATTCATCAGCCATTTATTATTAGGTAATAAGCGT